GGTGTTCTTCGGCTTTGAATTAGGTGGTAATTTCAAGGGAACTAGCAAACTTTGCATATATGCTAAAACAAAGTGGGCATTCATTAAATCCTTCTTGTTGATGTAGTATAAATGAAAAGATTAACTCTTTTACTTATGATTTGATAGACTGCGAAGGAAAATAACATTTTATACAGTCTAAAATCAAGCCTTTTCTGGTAAGGTCATTGTTTTTCTTATTTTTCTTATAAGAATATTTTCCAAATGACTGATAATAGTTGTGCCCCCAAACATGGTATGTTTATACCCTTCTACATGTATATGTTGGAGAGTTTTATTTGCATATTCATGTGATAAGGGGATATGCAGAGTCCCTTTATGTATTTATTAATGCATGTTCCTAGTAAGATGTTCTTTACAAATGTTTTTGTCAAAAATGATGAGAATGGAGTTATGCTGGAGTCCTTAAGTGATTCTAGGTACCTGAATATTCACTCTCTATGGATGAAGAGGGAATCTGCAAAACAGCTTTTGATTTGATTTTTGCTTTCGATGAGGTTATTTCTCTTGGGCACAAGGAAAACGTGACTGTTGCACAGGTTAAGCAATACTGTGAGATGGAGAGTCACGAAGAGAAATTGCACAAGTTGGTATTGCAGAGTAAGATCAATGAAACTAAGGATGTCATGAAGCGGAAAGCAAGTGAGATTGACAAAAGCAAGGTACTTTTTACATACCCATCGTCGTTCTTTTCTCACAACCAAAATTCTCATTTAAAAAAAAAAATCATTTTCTAAAAAAATAATATATAGTTGATAATTGTTCTTTCTTATAATATATATTGCAGATTGAAAAGAATAGAGGTGACAAAGGAGGCTTTATGTCTTTACAGTCTATGGGATCGGGAAAGATTGATAATGGCCTCGGTGACATGGGCATGTCATCAGGTGGTGGAGGTGGTTTTGGTGGCAGTTCTGGTTTTGGATTGGGTGCTGATGCGGAGTCCTTTTCTAGCAAGCCTAAAGGTTACTTTTTGTTTGAATGCGTGTTTCGTGAATGTCATCTATGATGAGTTGTTAATCTGTTACACATATTTGTAGCAGTCTATGGTCCTTGCATCAACACTAAATACGTTGCCAAAGTTATCGTTTTGTAATTGATGATATATTTTATGGGCTATGAAGATTGTCACGTATTAAGTGGATGCTTACAATTCTACCTTGTATGTCTGTTAATTAGGCCGTCCACCTTCATCTGCTACTGCTCCTCCTAAAGGCCTTGGCATGCAGCTTGGTAAATCCCAGAAGACAAATCAATTCTTAGAATCTTTGAAGGCAGAAGGTGAAGTAATAGTTGAAGATGTAAAGCCAAATATTGGTCCATCTAGGTCATCTGTCTCACTACCAACTGATCCCGTTACTCTATCTGTCGAGGAGAAACTCAACGTGTCCCTGAAACGAGATGGTGGTGTTAGTAACTTTGACCTTCAGGGAACACTGTCCCTTCAAATTCTTAATCAAGAAGATGCTCACATTCAAGTTCAGGTACTTTGGAGACACTTCAACTTCTCTAGGTCTTCGGTATACCCATCATATATCTTATAACGTCCAATATTTGACTATTAATAGTTTATTTCTGGAATACATTATAAGATTTCCTGTAATTGTGTAGGAAGCTAAAAGGTTTTCATCATTTGATAGTTCACGACTATGGCACTTGGGACAATTTTTTGTCTCAAAATTTGTTCCTATAGAATTTTGAACTACCTCTCGGGCACTCCTTTTTGTCTCATCTTGTGTTCTTATTGCTATTGTGATTTGATTTGCAAAGCTGGTTTTGTTATTTGTTTCACTACCTCGATTCTTTATGCGTTGTTTTCCAGATTGAGACTGGTGGGAACCCTGGCATCCTTTTCAAAACTCATCCTAACATGAACAAAGAGTTATTTTCCAGTGAAAATATTCTAGGCCTGAAGGACCCGAACAGGCCATTTCCTACGGGTCAAGGCAGTGATGCTGGAGTTGGTCTCTTGAAGTGGAGAATGCAAAGCACTGATGAATCAATGGTACCACTAACAAGTGAGTTCGAATCCTTCACATACCGTTTTCTATTATTGATTTTTTCTAAAAAAGCTATACTTATGAGGTTTTTATTGTTGCAGTCAACTGCTGGCCTTCAGTTTCTGGAAACGAAACCTATGTCAGCATTGAATATGAAGCTTCATCAATGTTTGACCTGCGGAATGTCATCATCTCAGTGCCTCTCCCAGCTCTTCGTGAGGCTCCTAGTGTAAGGCAAATTGATGGAGAATGGAGGTACAGATTGATCTTTACTCTTTTAGTTTACCTGATTTTCATTCTTTCATTGACATTTAATCATTAACTTACATACTGAGCTTTAAAAACCGTTTAATTAAAGTATGAATTACATGATTCTAATGAAGCGGATTTAAATCACTATCTTTTTCAGTTAAGAACCCCTTTTCCTCGGCTCTTGTCCTATAGTTTAACATGTGTTTATGCTCCCAACCCGGCAGGTATGATTCCAGGAATTCTGTCTTGGAGTGGTCGATAGTTCTCATTGATAACTCAAACCGCAGGTATGTAGTTTTTGAAAATCATCCATCTCCGCTACACTTTGTTACCCAATTCCAGTTGCGTGCTGATGTTCATCATTACTTGATCCCTCTTTTTGACAGTGGATCAATGGAATTCGTTGTTCCTCCAGCCGATTCATCAGTATTTTTCCCCATTTCTGTTCAGTTTTCAGCAGCTAGTACATTTAGCTACCTGAAGGTTTTATTCTTCTTCTACCCCTCTATTTGAATAACCATTGTTATTGCGTTGTATAATCTGTTCTTGTGTGTCCCTATTACACTGTCTTTTTCCTGCATTTCCTGAACATTGCATTGGTTTGTAAACTCCCCTTTTGCAGGTCGTCAACATTTTGCCTCTCAGGGGCGGTGCTCCTCCCAGATATGCTCAGAGAACACAGTTGACCACGGAAAATTACCAAGTTGTGTGATCGGCGATGCCTTTTTTTACTTCCATTTTCACTATTTTTTTTTTTTTTTTTTTTTTTTTTTTTTTTTTTTACTGTTTTTTGGAATTTATTCAGAACTGGAAGCAGCCGTGATTAAATCAGTTTTTCTTGAAAGGATGTTAGAATTAGACATTGCAATACCATGTTGCTTAGTCTATCATTCGACCAATTTCTTTGATTTGATTCTGTGTGTATGTGTGTGTATGTATATTTTCCTTATTCCAAACTAAGATATCTTTGACAAATGTTTTAATTGGTAGTTTGAAAAATTAATGAGCAACATTCTTAATCTTATTCATTTTATTTCCAACCTTTTATTAATTAACAAATATTATATTGTCTTTGAGCGAAATGTGGCAAAAGGAAGGAAAATCCATGGACCGACCCCATCGTCTCCACCCCGTAGGAACTACGAGATCACCCCAAGGACGCCTTCGGTATTCAGGGGTCGCTGACCGACCATAGAACCCTGTTCAATAAGTGGAACGCATTAGCTGTCCGCTATCGGGTTGGGCAGTAAGGGTCGGAGAAGGGCAATCACTCATTCTTAAAACCAGCATTCTTAAGACCAAAGAGGCGGGCGGAAAAGGGGGGAAAGCTCTCCGTTCCTGGTTCTCCTGTAGCTGGATTCTCCGGAACCACAAGAATCCTTAGTTAGAATGGGATTCCAACTCAGTACCTTTTGAGATTTTGAGAAGAGTTGCTCTTTGGAGAGCACAGTACGATGAAAGTTGTAAGCTGTGTTCGGGGGAAAGTCTTAAATTTTCAATTTAGTCCCTATAATTTGATTAAATTGCAAATTATATTGTTTTTCTACAGCCTAAAAATCAGCCTGTTTTTCCATTATTTTGTTTTTTAAAAAAGAATTTTTCTATGTGGCAATGAGTTATAATAATATAAATGAATTGCAAGATTTAACAAAATTATATGCGACCTATATCAAAATATTTAAAATTATACGACCAAATTTTAATCACTAAAATTATATTCTTTGATTTTTAAAAAGTACATAAAAATAATAAAAGAAAAAAATTCAAAGTAAATAGGATGATTTAATTTGATTAACTTTAATGTATTTTCCCCAAAATTATGAATTTATAGGTTTAAAAAAAAGCATAATAAAATCACACTTCGGATTAAAATAACTTAATTTATAAAAAAAAAAAAATGTAAAAGCAGACGGGAAAAATTCACATTCCGCCCCCTAACTTTATTTTCCTTTCAGTTAGGCCCCTCATCAACTGTTTATTACCGAACTTGCCCCTTAAAAATGTGGGAAACCAAAGGCTGAAGACAATTATAGTTAAGCGTAGAAAATAGAAAAATTTGCAGAGGAAAAGAAGTTATAAAAAGAAAAATATGAATCCAATTGTGAAATAATAATTAATTAAAATATTATTTATTTCAACAGTCTCATCTGCGGGAAGTTCCAATTGTGAAATTTTGAGATTTCGCTTTCTGGACCGATCTAGGGTTTCATGTCATTCACAGAGTCCTTCGTTATCGCCATATACGAACCCTAGGATTGCCTGACCACCACCGAGATAAAATAAGAGTTCTCCTAATCCAGAGATCGAATCGAGTTGATTAGAGTTTTGTTTTTCTCCTTTTTTTTTTTTTTTTTTTTTTTTTTTTTTTTTTTGTTCATCATCATCGCAACATCATCGCAACATCATTGCAACATCATCGCAACTCATCTTCATCATCAATCAGGATCTTAAATTTGTTTTCCACCAAGGAAAAAAAGAAGAACCGAATCTTGTTTTGTTCTGTTGTTTCTTGACGGATCGGTGTTTTAATTTGCAACAAAAACTGGATCAAATCTAAAGCATTCTGGACGATCATGATCTTTTTAAAATTTCTTGTCGTCTGGAAAGGAATTCATTGAAACCTATGGGATTATATAGAAACTTGATGAAATTTCCAGAGCCAAAAAGCCAAATAGTGTGACATATTGAGGAAGGAGATTGGAGGGAAGAATGTATAAATCGGTGGTTTACCAAGGGGATGTGCTACTGGGAGAGGTAGAGATTTACCCAGAAGAAAAGAATGGCTACAAGAACATCGAAGTGAAGGAAATCAGAATAAGTCACCTCTCGCAACCGAGTGAGAGGTGCCCACCACTTGCAGTGCTTCATACCATTGCAGCCTCTGGAATTTGCTTCAAAATGGAGTCAAAGACCTCGCAGTCACAGGACATGCCGCTCCATCTTTTGCACTCCTCGTGTATCATGGAGAATAAGGTATAAAAACACAACTCAAAAATAAGAAAGGAGACCAAAAGACAAAAGTAAGGGGGGGAAAAAAACCAGAGAGATTAACACGAACGAGAAAAAGAAAATCTGAATTCTAAATCAAACTTTGTTCATCCTACAAGGACTAGAATAGAAACATTTCAATTATATTGACAAAACTTTGTTACTTTAGTTGAGAATGATGCTGCAATCTTGGCTCACATTTTTTGAAATTTGTATGATATCTGCTACTTATCCTCGATTGTTAAACTTATGGAAGCAATTTGACGTGCTGTTTTCTTGCTCCAGCATGTCTGGCTGATGATATTATTTTGAAGATTTTGCTTCTGGTAGTTTCAGTATGGCTTTAAACTTAGGATTTTGTTCTGCAAGAAAATTAAAGCAATAAGCTGAAAATTTGTGTAGATGTTAATTGCATGTGGGAACTCGGTCGGCCCCAGGAGTTGATTTTTCAAACTTCTAATTTTACTAATGGTTCTGATATTTTATCTAGCTGGAAAATTTTCTGCTCTCCTAGCATACGATTTTAGTTTTTGTTTTCATCAACGTGGTGACCTGTTCTTCCTCAGCCTGTTATACTTGATATGATGTATTGCTAAACTGATGATTGGGTTTGCTTCAAACAGACTGCTATAATGGTGTTTGGAATGGAGGAGCTACATTTGGTAGCCATGTATTCTAGAGATCATGACAAGCAGTATCCATGTTTCTGGGGCTTCAATGTTGCAATGGGACTCTACAATTCATGTCTTGTCATGCTGAATCTTAGATGTCTTGGCATTGTATTTGATCTTGATGAGACACTTGTGGTTGCAAATACAATGCGCTCGTTTGAGGATAAAATTGAAGCCCTGCAGCGAAAAATAAGCAGTGAGGTAGATCCACAGCGTACTGCGGGCATGCTGGCAGAGGTTGAGCGATATCAAGATGACAAGTTAATTCTAAAGCAATATGCTGAAAATGACCAGGTTATAGAAAATGGAAAAGTGATTAAAAGTCAATCGGAGGTTGTTCCTGCATTGTCTGACAATCACCAACCTTTTGTTCGACCACTCATACGATTGCATGAAAAAAATATCATTCTGACTCGCATCAACCCCCAGGTAACTACGTTTAATCCAGCTCTTGCTTTAATTGTCTCTGAGTATTGTGTAGTGACCACCAAACAATACAGTTCACTTGTTTTCCACATTGATTGTTCATATGTACATTCATATTGCGCTTTTTTTCTAGTATCCTTATGTTGGATGCTTATTCTCTATGTTTTTACGATTCACCTATTTTGTCTGTGGATCTCTGGCTGTAATGACTGAAAGTAATTCGATACGGATGTTGCTTGCCTGAGACAAGATTAGGTTCATGTAAGTGGTGCATGAGTTGTTTATATGATATTTCATTTAGACTAGTATGTTGCACAATGAAAGTTAGAAGCTATTTTGTGAAATCATGGAATGATAGTTATATTAACTCGACTACTACTGAAATTCCATAGATTCGTGATACAAGTGTTCTTGTGAGGTTGAGACCTGCATGGGAAGATCTTCGGAGCTACTTGACTGCAAGAGGTCGCAAGCGTTTTGAGGTCTATGTGTGTACAATGGCTGAAAGGGATTATGCTTTGGAGATGTGGAGGCTTCTTGATCCAGATTCAAATTTGATAAATCCCAAGGAATTGCTGGATCGCATTGTTTGTGTCAAGTCTGGTTAGTACAGTTTTCCGAGGGACATATATAGTATGGCAGTTTGTTGTTGAGGGAGATATTCCGAAACTGCTTAAAGTCATGCTTTATATTAGTCTTTCTACCATTTTAAAGATTCTCAAGTTAATTTTTATTAATATTCTTTTGGTCCATGTCATTAGGTTCTAGGAAGTCATTGTTCAATGTCTTCCAAGATGGCTTTTGCCACCCCAAGATGGCTCTAGTAATTGATGATCGTTTGAAAGTGTGGGATGAAAAGGATCAACCTCGAGTTCACGTTGTTCCTGCATTTGCTCCTTACTATGCCCCTAACGCCGAAGTATATTCTTATTTGCAGTTTGGCATTTCAGTTTGAAAGATTTCTTAAAAAATCAGGCAACTTTGTTTTATCTCATATTCTCCTCTTTTTTTTTTTTTTTTTTTTGGGTAGGGAAATAATGCCGTCCCTGTTCTATGTGTAGCAAGGAACGTTGCCTGCTATGTTAGAGGTGGTTTTTTCAGGTAAGATTCAAAAGACTGCTAAAGTTCCTTACAAAAGGACATGAATTCTACCATGCTTATTCTTAATATTTGGAAATTAAGGTTTTTAACTCTGGAAGATGGTCCAAGTTCATGCATGTTATCAGTTTTCTTTTGTTAATCATGGTGTTCTGCTGGTTTCAGGGAATTTGATGAGGTCCTTCTGCAAAAAATTTATAATATTTCTTATGAAGATGATGCCAATGATATTCCCTCTCCACCTGATGTTAGCAACTATCTCGGCTCAGAGGTTAGTAGGATTCTTTCTCTAATTCTTTTCCCCTAAAATAATCAAATTTAGTTTGATAATGAGGTCGTGATATTGCTTCTTCCGCCTTCCTTTTTTCTTATTGTATTTTTTTTTTCTCTGACTTGTTAAATGCTTCATTCCTTTCCCTTCTTTTATGTTTTTCAGGACGAATATTCGGTCTCTAATGGAAACAAAGATACACTAACTTTTGATGGTATGTCAGACATGGAAGGCGATAGACGAATGAAGGTACTGACAGAGATCGGTTATTGATTGAGTTCATAATTAAACTTTCATTGACATATACCAGGGAGCTAATTAGTTCATGGAAAGTGAACGTAGTAATATCTTGCATAACATTATTTGAGTAGTTAAATTTTCAAGTTACCATTAGTTGCGTAGTGGAAAGAATTCTGCAACTTTTATTCGATAAAAATTATGCTTCTGGCACTGTGACTGGTAGAAATCCAAGAATTACAAAGAACTAAACAACGCAAAACATAAAACAAATCATTAAACTCTATATCAATTAGTCATTGTGACTGCATATTACTTCAATTTAAGATCTCTATCTATCATACACTCATAAATATACATATATGAAGAGGATTGCTCTTCCATCTTCCCCCAGGATGCATTTTTGGCTTCTTCAACTGTCAACAGTGCAGATCCACGAGTGCCTTCTCTTCAATATACAATGGCTTCTGCTTCTGGCACTGTTCCAGTTCCGCCATATTTTCCTAACATGCCACTTCCCCATGTTGATTCAGTGGCTCATGTGGCCGCCTCTGAACCAAGTTTACAAAGCTCTCCTGCTAGAGAGGAGGGTGAGGTACCAGAATCAGAATTGGATCCTGATACAAGGCGTAGACTTCTTATATTGCAACATGGACAAGATACAAGAGAGCGTCAATCAAGTGAACCTGCATTCTTAGGGAGGCCTCCTCCATTACCGCAGGTTGTTGGTCCACGTGCACAACCACGTGGAAGTTGGTCTCCAATGGAAGAAGAAATGAGCCCATTACAACTAAGTTGGACACGCAAAGAGTTCCCTGTAGATGAAGAACCGATCAGAGAGAAGCATAGGTCTAATCATCCTTCATTTTTTCCCAAGATTGACAGTTCCTTTCCACCTGTTAAAACTCCTCATGAAAATCAGAGATTGTCAAAAGAGGTAATTAGATTATTGGCTTATTTTCTATCCATGAAGTTTTCCCTCCGACTCCCCCTTTTTTCAAGGAGAAAAGCTACTGTATAATTCTTCAGTGTCGTTTTTAATCAACATGCAGGCTTTTTATAGAGATGATCGTGTGAGAGTAAGTCGAAGGCCATCTAGTTATCCTGCCTTTTCAGGTGAACCATGTTTGACACACTTGTTTGTCGATTTTCTTAATTTTGTTTCAAATTTTTTTAGTTTCTATTTCTTTTTCTCTTCCATTTTTTTTTATTCTTTCTCATATTAAATGCTCAGGGGTCATGATTTGTTTGCTGACTGTTACTACTTGAGACCCGATCTCTCATTTTCTCTTTGATTAACATTAAAAATGAATCGAACCCTTTATCTTTGATAATCATTGTTTTTGTTTTGAACCATGGGTTTTAACTTTTGGGCGAGTTTTTTCTTTGATAATCATTGTTTTTTTTTTCTAGCCAGCATTTTGTGAATAATTATCATGTTGGTTATTATTATATTTCATTGAGGTTATGCTACGTTTTGTATTGCCTTTTTAAAGCTGATGAGATTCCAATGAATCAATCATCTTCAAGAAGTCGAGAGAATGACATTGAATCTGGACGCTCCATCTGGAGTGAAACCCCTGTTGGAGCTCTACAGGAAATTGCAATGAAGTTTGGCACCAAGGTAATATGAGGCAACCTTTTCCTTTATAGAAAGTTGAAGTTCGAAAGTAATGCATTTGCTACTCCCTAGTCTAGCCAGTCCTTGAGAGTTGAAAAAAACTTGTAGGTGGAATTTAAGCCAGCATTAGTCTCCAGCACAGATCTACAGTTTGCTGTTGAGGTAATTTATGATTTCCACTTTCATGTTCTTTTTTGGTTTTAAAATCTTTGATCAGAATGAAGTTTTTTTTTTTTTTTCCTTGGAATAATTCAATAAAACTGTCTCAAGTTTAAGTAATTTCTTCAACAAGATCCCGGACGCTGATCTTGACAAATTTTTGGCTGAATTATATGAATAGTATCCGGAGCTTTGTCATTTGTTTGAAAAACATTCTTATTGTTTGAAAAGTTGCAATATAACCCTTGAACTTTCTTTCCTTTAGAATTTTTTCTGCAAACTGAGACCTTGTTTGATGTGGCGAGCAATGATCCTAATTTTTGTTCGAAACGCTGAATGATTTTTGCTCCAAACGTAGTTTTGAAATGTTTGTGAATTGTAACTTAACTTGTGTAAGAATAAGGGTGTTTTTTAAATGATTTCTTCTATTATAGGCTGCTTGTCTCCACTTGTTCTGATTATAGAGCATGTGAACCTGTTTGCTTGATTTTTGTAGGCATGGTTTGTGGGAGAGAAAATTGGTGAAGGAATTGGTAAAACAAGAAGGGAAGCGCAGCGACATGCTGCTGAAGGTTCTATAAAGAACTTGGCTAGTACGGACTCCTCATTTTTTCTCTTACTATTATTTATATGAAAAAGAACTCCTCCTAAGGTGTGAATCTGGCTGACATATAAACTATGTTATGTCTTGCAGATGTTTACGTATCGCATTGTAAGGCTGACTCGACGTCTACAAACGATATGAACAAATTTCCTAACGACAATGGATCTGGAAAACGAATGAGGACGGACTTCCACGGGAATCTTCCAAAACCTAAATGAATGTTCCGAAAATGCGTCTGTTTTATGAACATATTTGTTTGACCCTCTTGTAAAGGCATGTTTCAGGATATTCGAGGTTATTAAAGGTCATGAAGACTCAGAGCATGTTGGACTAACAAGCAATACCTCGCCTTGTGCTAGTCGTCGTCTCGATCACGACTAGCCAAATCGCAAGATCATTCAGTTTCTTCTGATATATCAGCAGCAGCAGCAGCACAATGTCTCTCCCTGTGAAATGTTTTTTTACCTCAAGGTTGAGATGAGCCACAAATATCCGCCTGCTACTTAAATTTTTCCTCCCATCAAGCTGAAGCCCTTGCTGTTAAAAGGTTGCAGAAGCCTGTAATTCATGCTCTGCTTTGCCGACTTGTTCACTCCAATATAGAATTTAGTGTTTTTTTTTTTTAATATTTATTGATTGAGCTCAGGTCGAAAATTTTTACTGGTATTCAGGAATGTTTTCTTGATCTGCAGACTCATTATTCACATTATATAGCAAACTAACCCTTTATTTTATGTTTCATATCTCAATGAACAGTTAGGCTTCCCCCCACCCCTACCCCCATCGACGTTCCAAGCTCAAGAACGATGAACGATGTAGAATTGTAAAGCGAGTTTTTTTTCTTTGAATACTTTCTGACTGGTTTTTATTACATTACAGAACTTGAATGTTGTTTTTGTGTTCTTATCAGGAGGATAAAATGATTATAAGAACATTCTTGCTGCTAAGTTTGTCAATTCAGAATAGTATAAAATGTAAACAATGGTTCTAGATAGATGAAATTTTTCTAGATCTACAAATAATCACTCCCAAATGCTACTCAACAATTACACTCAAAATCTATAAGAGTTAGGATTTAAATAAATGTCCGGGAGATGCATTAACCTATTCTTACAACTTTAGGTGGCATTCATTTGATAGATACAAAACTTCATTGCATCGTCCCATACAAGTAATATTTAAGATGAAGTGACGATATAATTAAACTATATTATAATTCAATAAACTTATATTCTTAGGCCTTTATTAATTGATGTTAAAATATTTAAATTCGCAACAAGCTCATCATAAATTTTCTATTCTATTATAACAGGAGCATAGTTTAATGGATAAGATAAGATACTGATGCTCAATTAATTCAAATATAATTTAATACATAAAATATCAATTATCTTAAATTTAATGATTATATATATATATATATATATATATTTTTTTTTTTTACTAAAAAAATAAAAGGTGTATGAGAAAAAGAAGAATAATTGAAAATTTGTTAGAATGTGTATAAAGCATATAAAAGGGTCAAATTAGCTCTAAAGAGAGTCCAGCGAGTCGTCCCCGTGTTTTTCTCATTTACAAACCCAACCCATAAAGGCCATCTCTGCGGTGTTGGAGAGCGCAAAAATGTCCGCCTTCGACGCCTACAGTATGGACGGTGAAGATAGCTATGGCGGTTACGGATCCTACACCAATTTCTCCGGCGGCTTCCCTGGGGACGCCGATGTAAGCGTCGAGCACACTCCTGCCTCGCCGGATGTCTTCGGATTCGACGATCCGAGCCCTAACTACTCTCAGACTCCGTTTGATCCGATTCATATGGAGAACGGAAATGGAAACGGCTATGGCGCGGCTGAGGAGGAAGTTGGTGATGGTGTTTTCGTATCGGATGGTCCAATTCTTCCGCCTCCCACCGAGATGGGCGTGGAAGAAGGATATGCTCTTCGTGAATGGCGTCGGTAAGATCTTGAGACCCTCAATTTTTTTAGGTTTCTTGGAGCTGAAGAGTTTTTTCTCCTTCTTGTTCTTGTTCTTCTGCTGCTGCTGCTGCTGCTACTGCTGCTACTTTGTAGCTCTGTATCGGTTTAGATCTGATTCTTTTGTGAACAACTTCGGATCTCTACCGTTCATCTTCTTGTTGTGTTTTTACTTGATAACACTGATTGATCTGGACTATTTCTCCATTCTGTCTTCCTAATTCTGCATAGACTGATTTGATGAGGGCAACTATATTGATCAATTTGCATTAAAATGTGGTGAATTAAAGAACTTAGATCTAGGGACTTCTGCACCTCAATTAGTATAGTTAGATGAAGAAGCTACCGCTTCAGTGAGCTTTGATCGAGGTATATATTAGTAGATTAGTCAGGGACAAGTGATTAAGTCGATTTGCTCATTATTAGTGGGTCTATGTCGTTGTTGATATATGTGGAAGTTCAAACAGAGTTTAGGTAAATCTCTGGAAGTTCAAGCTGAATTCCAGCGGAATATTAGTAGATCAGTCAGGGACATAGCCATTAAACTCAAACTACTAATTATCAGTGGGTGTATGTGTTGTCGATATATGTGGAAGTTTATGCAGAATTTCAGCTGAATGTTAGTAGATCAGTCAGGGTCATAGCCATACAAGTCAAATTACTATTATTAGTGGGTCTATATTGTTGTCGATCTATGTGGAACTGTGGAAGTTCGAGCAAGTTCCGGTAAATCTTCGGTAAGATAACTATGGATTATACGATTTAGCCATGACCCATGTTATGAATTTTTGGTTTTTGTTTGGAGTAGTTTGCCGTGTTTAGGATGGAACCATTACAAAAAAACGCATGAGGGATTCATAAGACAGCAATTGCATGAAGTAGATCTTCAATTGAAATCTTTGGAACTCTTTATTATCTCTCTCTGTTGTTTAGTTGACGACCTTTTCCCCTTTAGATAGCAGAAATTGAAATTTGTTTTTGATGGCCAATTTGAGTTCCTTGAAGTTGTATTTCAAGTATATATCTTTTGTCTTTCCAATTTGAACTTAAAATAACGGGTTTTGCTGGTGCAGCCAAAATGCCATTGAACTTGAAGAGAAGGAGAAAAGGGAGAAAGAATTGAGAATCAAAATAATTGAAGAAGCCGAGGAGTATAAAATAAGTTTCTATGAGAAAAGGAAGCTTAATATTGAGAGTAAGAAAGTTAACAACAGAGAAAGAGAGAAGGTATAATAAGTACATTTCTTTTGTGTTTGTATATGATCTCCAGCTCTGGTTTCTTAGTATAGATTTTTGCATTGCATTTTGGGAGCAGCTATACTTGGAAAACCAGGAGAAGTTTCATAAAGAGGCTGATAAACAATACTGGAAAGCAATTGCAGAACTAATTCCCAACGAAGTTCCTAATATTGAGAAAAAGAGAGGAAAGAAGAAGGATGAAGAAAAGAAACCATCTATAATGGTTGTTCAAGGTCCGAAGCCTGGGAAGCCTACCGACCTTTCGAGAATGCGTCAAATTCTTGTAAAATTGAAGCACACACCCCCACCTCATATGAAGCCACCCCCACCCCCACCTGCCAAGGATGCCAAGGATGCCAAGGATGCCAAGGATGCCAAAAATGCAAAGGATGGAAAGGATGCCAAAAAAGAAAAGGATGCAGCAGCAGCAGCAACAAAAGCATCATCTGATCCTGCACCTGGAGCTGCCACTGCCACTGCCAATGCCAATGGCACTTCTCACAAACCTCAAGAACCAGCTGCCGCTGAGGATCAAATTGCCACATAAACGACATAGCCATAGCCATCATCAGCTTCCTTCTGCTCAATACTTTTTACTTTTTTTTCCTTTGAGGCTTCGTTGTTTTCGTTTGTTTGTCTATCCTTGGATTTGAATGTGTAATCAGTTGTGATCTCTTATTATACAGCATTTATTCTTCTGTACCTTATGACGGTCTCTTCTCTAGTGGCATTATCTTTTGGACTTGTCCAGGTTCTGATTTTTACATTCCCAAATTATTTCTTCATTTCCACAGTAGATGATGTTTGGTTCTGTAATCATGGCTTGTTTATCCATTCAGATTGTTTCTGTTTGTGCTGAGTACTAAATTTCTTGTTCTTAAGGTAAGGTACGTTTTTTATTTTTTATTTTTACAAAGCTTATGTATACAAAAACTAAAATGTATTTCATATAAGCCCACCGCTCTTTTTATGCTTTCTCTTCCGACTTTCCCTCAAGGTTTTCCATTAGGGAGAAGTTTTCTCACCGCTCTTTTTGAGCTCTCTTTTCCAGACTTACCTTCAAGGTTTTCTCACGGTTCTCTTTAAGCTTTCTCTTCAGAACTTCCTCTCAAAGTTTTCTATTAAGGAGAGGTTTTTCGTTATTACGATGTGGGATCTTACCATCTATAATAACTTATTTCTTATTTTTATAGTATGCTGCTGATATTATTAATCCTGTAAACGTTTTATAGTATTCAATCAAAAAGAAGAAGAAAGGCATTAATGTAAAATCATATACTTTTCTTTTTCATGAATCCCAAGTTCAAGGAATCAGAAATTAGAGAGAGAGAGAGAAAAAAAAAAAGAAAAAAAAAAGTTGGATATGTGAATCAAGCATGTGATCCCCAGGCTACCCAGTTGGCTTCACTCCCAACACGTGGCATGCTGTGAACACTTGACTGGACATCAACCTTAAAGTTGGCCCCACACATCACCCCTTCACTGTCAACTCTAGGCATTGCCTACGTCTTCTTTGTCGGATACTCAAAACTCACTATCTAACATACAACCTGCGAATTTTTTTTCAATTCCAATTACAAAATCCACGTCAGATTCCAGCTCCTTTAAAACAAGTCTTTCTTTTTTAACGAATATGACCAAAATATTGCCAGGTGGAAATGGGGCTAATGACTTGGCACATCCCGCTTTAATCACCTCCAAGTTGTCCCAAATTACAAGACAGCCATCAACCGCACTACATATTCATTATTATTTTTGTCGGTTTTTTATAATAAACAATAAAAATATCAATAATGTAATACCTCATATCTATCGGATATTGTCCTTTTTGGGCTTTCTCTTTTGTGCTTTCCCTCAAAACTTTAAAACGTGTCTGCTAGAGAAGGTTTCCACACCCTTATAGATGGTGTTTTGTTCTCCTCCCCAACTAATGTGGGACATCACAATCTCACCTCCTTTGGGGCCCAACGTCCTCGTTGTCACTCTTTCCTTCCTTCAATCGATGTGGGACCGCCCCAAATCCACCTCCTTTGGGGCCTAACGTTCTTACTGGCACACCGTCTTGTGTCTACCCTCTTCGGAAAATAACGAAGTAGATTGACACATCGTTCGGTGTTTGACTCTGATACCATTAGTAATGCCCAAAATCCACCGCTAGCGGATATTGTCCTCTCTTCGGAAAATAGTGACAAGACTAACACATCATATGGTGTCTGGCTCTGATACCATTAGTAACGCCCTCATATCCACCGCTAGCAGATATTGTTCTCTTTGGGCTGTGATGTCCTACATTGGTTGGGAGGAGAACAAATTACCATTATAATGGTGTGAAAACCTTTTCCTAGCACATGCGTTTTAAAGCCTTGAAGGAAAGCTCGAAAGAAAAAGTACAAATAAGATAATATCCGCCACCCGTGGATCTGTCTGTTGTATTGATGATAATGTCTATACACATCACATTTTTTTTTAATAATTCTATTAAATTACGTGTGGGACCCACACATTTGACCTTTACAAACAAGTTAC